AAAACAAAAGTTATAAGAGGAAACGATCTCATTCCATCACCAGTAGCGATGATTCAGGAAAGACACTTGTTGTAGAACTAGATGATGATGATGACAGCGATGATTATCTTGAAAATATATGTCGAAAGTGCAATTGTTCTTACTACGATAAGAAGGGTCCAAAAGTTGATTCGATTCAATGCGTTCGCTGTAAACGGTGGCTACATGAGACGTGTACTTCGAATTTTTGAAAACATTTGTCATGATTGTTTCCATTAAGAAATATGCACAATAATTATATTACAAATAACATTCTAGTTAACTGTTACTTTATTAATATAGTTAACTGTTTTTTTTTGTCTCATTTTTATTAGTTATGTTGATTGATCTCATTATCATAGTATAATCATGTTATTTTACTGAGAAAGCTTATAGTTCCTTTATATAACCTAAGAGTTAAAAATTATGTTTCTATTACCTAAAAGATATAAATAATGTTGTTTTATTACTTACCTAAGAGTAAAAAATAAATAATTTGATTGAGAATTTTAATGTCTTTCATTCAGTGGTACGACTTAAACACCCATGGTACGATTTAAAGACTTAGTGGTACGATTAAAACGACGAGTCGGCTAAATCGTACCGATGGCAAGCCTCTATAAAAAAGCATTTTTAACAATGTTAGAATAATCGCAAGGATCTGTTCTCTTCTTCTTAGGAAGCTAAAATATGAAACTTTATTTTACATATGTATTAATTATTATAAGACGTGTTATAGTCGAAATATTTGAGTTAAAGTGAAAAGTGGTACGATATATCCGACTCTCCCCTATCTACTCATATAGTAATATTATTTTCTTATAATAATTTTCTCTTCAGTTATTAAAATGACAAATTTATAACATACCTACATTTATTTAATTTTCCTTTTATTTTTTACATTAATTCGTAATTCAGGATATAAAGGAGTTCAATTCTCGATTAATAATTATTATATGAATTCAGTTTTTCTACAAAATTAATTAAATGCATTTTTATTTTGGAACTCTTAACTAGTCCTAGTAGAATTAATGAATTTAATAATTATTTATTACGTTTAATATTATCTCTCATTAATTTCATTGAAGATATCGTACATAACATAGGTATACTATATACATTTGAATATATATATTTAGATTTAAAACCATTTTCGATAGACATATTAACTTAATAATTTTGCCTATAAATAACAGACATACTATTTGGTAAAAAAATTGAAAGATTTCTAAATATTACCAATAAATATGACGTCTTTAATTTATATAGAAACATTCTTCAATGTGTAACTAGATTTTTAATTTACCTTCGTTTGAAAAATATCAGTCTTCAGTATTAATTTGAACTCCTAAGGATACTTATGAGTTTACTAAAAATATTCCTCTATAAATTTAACGTACATCTAAAAATTTACCACAAACACGTTATAAATAATTCCAGAATATTCCACACAAATTTCAAAGTCCTTCAAATCTCCAGTCGCCAGTTATAAAACGATCTCGACGTTTAATGGATTCCATATTTTTTTTCCAAATCCATTTCCATTCCAAGATCCTAATAGCACGTAAACAGTCACGTAGTATTGTAATGTATGCAATTATGAACTTGCACCGCATATTAAAACAATATTACCTTGTGATTGTTACAAATTGTCGCTAAACCCACCGTTTTGGGCGGAAATAACATTTTTTTTTTACCTCAAATCGATTCTGTTAAATGTTTTAAGACGATTGCTTTTTGTTTTTTTTTTGGTAATATAATTTGTGGTTTTGGATACTGTAATATCGGCTTAGAGAATTTTGTTTTTCTTCATACATTATGTATGTATTTGTGACGTCATTTTAGGCCTTTAAATCCTTTATATACTAATTTTATATGAAACGAATAAATTAGAGCTTTAAGACCGACAAAAAAAATTTGAATTTCAAAGTGTATAAAATGCTTTTTAATTGGTTTTAATTCTATTCTTGAAGTTAGTTAAGTTGTACCTGACGATGAAAAGCTATCTTTAGTAGAGTAGTAGTTATTCTCATTAGAAATATGAAATAAATGATCTACCAAGCTGAATTTAACAACTTTCGTTTCCAGTTTAATTGGTTTTACAAATATTAGAACATAGTTTTGTTTTATGTGATTTAGAGTGGACTGTGGAAGCTTACAAATCTGGATTGAAATAAAGGTTTCTATTCAATTAGGTACTGGTTGATACCCGTGACTTTGTTTGCATTGTTTGATATATTTAAAAATTTTCGTGCCCAAAAAACACATTACAAGACACGTACTACATAGTTACTGTCAAAGATGTTGTTTCGTAAAAGTTTAGTAACTTCATATTAAATGATAACTTAGCTAAGTATATATTATATTAAGTATAGGTACGTCAAAGACTTTTCGAATATTAAATTGAAATGTATTAAATAATATTACCATCATTCTTGCACAACTGCTAGGTACATGCTTATTTTAAATTGACATCGTCACACTAGCTACGAATATTAAGCAGTTTTCATTCATATAATTTAACACATAACAATAATATAGACTATTAAATGACTAACGGGAAATGCCTCGTAGGTATGTAGTATGATGATGGAAACATACAGTAACAGATGTCTTTCAATGTATAGGTATCTAAAAATATAAAAGTCATTATTTAGATATACTTTTGAGCAAGCAAAATGGATTGATTTAAATTAAAATATGATTTAAATTATCAATGAAATGCAATACACATAAACATTCAGTACTGGACCCGGGTGTTGTATTGGAAGTGAAATAAATTTGCTACCGGTTTAAAATCATTATTTAAGTAATTTAACAAACAATAATATAGACCACAAACTTATCATTCAGATACTACAAACTCATATACATATTTATTGAAATGCTTAGTTATGAAAATCCTTAGAAAACATTATGTATCTTTGATCAAAAACTATTTGATAAGAAATTTCAATTTTCCCAGACTTCACAAAATTGGTTGTAAGGCTTAAGTATCTATATTTTCTTGCAAAACATATGTTTCTTTTCTATATTTCAAAAAGTAATCCTAATGTGTGTCAAATAAACATAAATATAAATATATATGATTCGAACTAATACAATAATACAGTACAAACCAGCTTCTGTAGAAGTGAAACAAATCAGTATCAATCTTGTTTCAAAACTACTAATCTTAGAACGTGAAGGCAATCCTAGTAAGTTCTTTTCAAGTGTGGTTACGTAGAGAAAAGAGCTTGGACAGTGGAGGTGAGCGTTTAAAGCCTGTCAGATAAGGGGCCCCTTAAACCTACACCTGGGTCACAAGTCACAGTCACTGTTGAAGCTCCTCTCACTACAACGATGGACCCGACACACGCACCGTGAATACATTGAATGATGTGAAGTTTCGTCTCTATGAAGTTTTGTAATCATTCTGATTCCTGTCATATTTGTTGTGAAGCCCTTATAACAGTGTTCTTAAATTTAGACTGTACTGACTATACAAAACATATACTTTGTACATATTATAAAAGACGTTTCAAAGAAATTTTATAAAGCTGGTTACTGTATATGAAGGAAATAATAAAAAAATCCTTCCGTATTTTATAATACATATGCATCCAAAATGAATTTAAGCTGAATTTAAACTCTTGATAATATACCTAATTATAGGTACTATCTGTGCTTTTGACTTCGTCTTGATCTTATTGAAAGCTACATTTATTTCTTAATGTTATTATTTTAGATATGGAATAGTTATTTATATATATAATACCGATAAAATTGGAGAAAATTTCTGCCATATCAAGTCTTCTCAAAATCGGTTCAGACGTTTTACAGGCTAGCCCTAAGGCACAGACAGAGAGAGAGATAAAAATTGTAAAAAATAAATATATAAATATGTATACGAGTATGTACGGTATGTATGTACATATATCCAAATACAATTCAAAAAAAAGATTTGAAACAAACACAAATTCAAACCAATTTGATTTAAATATAATAACTTCTATAGTATAAATAAATTAAGTAGGGTAATCAATGAAAACATCATTTTATTTTGTGACTCCGTATAATTTCATCTTAAATTTCGGTTCACTCTGAAAACTTGATTACAATTTACAAGATACATACTCCATGATCCTTTTGTCTACTTTATTTATCATATAATTTATTATTTACACGAAAATATATCTAAATTAAAACAAGCGAGGGCTAACGATATATCTACACTACGTTAAAACTATGAAGTAATTATTACTATTAAAGCGGCTTTAGAGCTTTTTACGAATCAATAAAATTTGATATATAAGAAATTTCAAACTATTTTATATGGTTTTACTGATTTTATATATATGAACACAAAGCAAACATTACAAAATCACACATCTATCTATGACAGTTCAAAAAAACTAAATGTCAAATGTAAATGACCTTTCACATTGACGTTTGTAGGTTTTTCCGTTATTTTAATTTGGTTTAAACAGAAGATCCAACGCCAGTGTGAAGAGCTTTAAATTGTAAGGAATTTTTTTTCATTAAGAAACTGATTTATTGAATATAGGTACATCATTTTTCATTTATCTTTTTATATCAAAGATGCCTTTAACTTTTTTCCACGCTTATGATATGTCATGAAGTATTTAATGTACAAAATGTATAAATGAATGTACGAGTATCTATAAGCCTAAATAGCGTAAGTACAAATTACAAATACCTATTAATATTTATATAATATAATACTGGTATAATTTATTTACAGCCATAACATTAATAGTAAAGAATTATTAAGTACATAAGTTTGGTAGAAATAAATACGGTGCGGTTGAAAAGCATTCAATATTTTCCATATCTAGACTAGACCATGCAATTATTAGATTTCCATACTATCATTATGTAGATTTTCAAAGAATTTTTTTTATTTTAATATAAAATAAGTATTTACAGTATCATTTTTTCGATATATATTTATATTGAGCATACATTCGTTTCGTAATGGTTCAACATATAGGTGAGGCGACGGGGGGAGGTTGCGGCGCGGGGGGAGGGGGGCCGTTCATGAAGCTGCCTTGGTTACCTGCCCAAGGCTGAAGATTCTGTAAAGCGCTTAAAGCGGTGTTACTCTGCTGTTGAGTATTAGGGTTTTGGTAATGCAGCGCTGAAAGCGGCGCACCGGGCGGCGGTTCAGGCATGTAGCCCTTGCTTAAAGCTTCCGCTTGAAGGGATAACATCAGTCGATTAGCTGCTTGTCGTTCAGCCTCCCTCTCCTCGGCTGTCTGACGCCTGTAACAAATATATACATTATAATATAAGCTTAAATTGAGTTAAAAATAATGACATATATATTTTGTATCTGTGAAACTGTATAGCATCTGTGGTTTAAAGAAAATGTCAAAAAAATACCGCGAAAGTTTACAAATTAAAAAAAATTTTCTTTTTAAAATATCCAAATTATATATAGTGATTAGTTAAAGCAAAGGTTATTTTCAAATGATAGAATTATAGTAACATCGTATTATATCGGTCATTGGTTAAAACGAATTGTTATACATTTGTTGTTTTGAGACAATTACGTAGGAATACATTTCGACCAATCAGCGTTAATAATTGATTGCGTCCATTAGTGTAGACAAATCAATGACCGCGTAACGAGTACGAAACATAGAAGCTGATTGGCGTAATTAAATAAACAACTATTGTTATGTTTTTAATTTGTATTAGCTTATTATGATTTACGTTAACTACTGTTAAAAAAGTCGAATATTTTGTTAAGAAATAGCGATACTAGTTTACCAGTTAAATAACTTTGTTCTAACTTAAACACTCTAATAATATCTTTTTGATAAATATTTGCTATCATATTAAAAATTATATTTTCAAAACATTAAATTGTCATTTAAAGGTAATTATGTAATGAATTAAAAGATGTATTAGGTATAATCCTATTGATTGTCACTTCGTTCATACTGTCTTTCAATCAGGTGTGATTATTAGAAAAAATATTAAAAAAAATATATTTTAAATCTAAATTTCCCGATACTTATATATAATAATCCAAAATGGTTTTATTGTATATCACATGAGGCAGAATAGAAATAAACCAAACACTACCAACTGCATTACACAGAAATGTACTATAATAATTATTTAAATTTGTTAAACAAAAATGCATACATAACGTTAAACTATTCAAACTTTAAACGACTGTATCCACTCCGACGTTTGAATAATGCATGAGTTTTAGAAATGTTCGAAATTCAAATTGATTTAACGTCAATTATACGTATCTAACGACGACAGATGAATTAGTCGGCGACTAGCGACTTGATGGTACAGCTATTTAAACTTACAATATATATCTGTCTCTTTCTATATCATTGTTTTGAATACGAGTGAAAGAGATGGAGATGACATTAGTAATATGACATTACACTTTTTAATGTATTACGCTTTGTTAAATTCATATAAATCGTCTATTATTTTGAGGAAATTTTTCATAGTCAAATTTTTTAATAAATATAAGGCTTTATATTTATATGAGAAAATACTTTTTAAATTTCCCCGAAGCTCTCTATCATAGATAACCTTCATGGCGCATATTTTAACAGGGATGAATGTTATGATACCAGTTTGAACCGGAGTCAAGCGGGCGCTGGCGGCATAAACTGTCAAGTTGAGCTTTTAGCAAAATGGCGACTGCATTATTTATTACAAAGAGGTTTCACTTTAAATATAAAAATATGCAAATCCTTGGCTTTCTAATTTTAAAAGCGTTTTATATAGCGTTCATTATTTATAACCAATACGTCAGTTTGACAGATTAAAATAATATTCTTAAATTAAATTGAGTTCCAAATTCGAATTATGAACGTAACTCATAGTTCAAGAATATATTATTAGATAAATTGTAATTCAAATAAAGACTTAATGACAAAGGATTCTCAGCCTTGAATTATTCCATAATGACTGAATACCGCAAAACCGTAATTGCTTCAAACTTGGATCCATTTTGCAACTAATCGCGTTTGTAATTTGGAATCGTGATAAAATCTCCGATTAGCCTATCTCGGATAGACAAAGGATACATATATAAATTGTTTTATATATATACGTAGATTACAGTAATGTATAGGGCATATATAATACGTTGGCATTTTCCTATTGGGTCATATACACAGATAAAAAAATAAACTTGTAATATTTTCACAGATAGGTAATTAAATATTTTTCTAGTCTATAATGTATTCTTTTATTTATTTGAAAAAAAATATTATATTTATTTGGTAAAAAATTGTCGTTTCAGCGAGAGGCATATTTTGTAAGTGTAAAAGTCAAAGTAAGTGTTGGCCTTTTAAAAGGGGGTGAATGCTTTTTACTCTGAGAATTCGTATAAAATATTAAATAATGAAAATTCTTCAACGGTACGCTTACACTAAGTTTTCATCGTTAAAACAAAATACGGTTAGTAAATAGTTTATTATTGATAGTTGTAATGATACTGCCATAAAATTAGTATAGTGAAGGTTTATAAATGAATACTATGAAACTGTTTGTGTTGCAGTTAACTATAAATTAACTAATGATAAGGTTACTGAGTATACAATAGAATCGTGTTATATAATAACATGACTGTTATTAAGGAAGTTGTTTTAAATTCATTATCGTGACGTTGCTTAATATACAGGGTGACTGGTGAATTACTATCAATATTTAAGGAGAATACTCGGTACATGATTCTCATTCGAATTATGTATGTAAAAAAAAATAGGTACTTAATTTTTGACCAAATTTCCGTATAAATAAATAAAGTGTGGACACGTTCCAAGTGTGGACGCGTGCGTGTGTGAGTGTGTATAATCTGTAGGGTGTTTTCACGATGCGTAATAAATTACATAACTTTTGGTTAACTTTACTTAAAAGTTTATTAATATTTATGTTATATTCATTTTTATTTTGTCATATATGATCGTCAAATATCACGTCCTCAAGTATCGATAGTAATTCACCAGTCACCCTGTATAAACATAAGTATAATTTAATTTAATTTTGTTCATAGACTTTTATATGTGAAAATATCCGAATTAGCTAACTATGTCACTGATATTAAACTCATGTCATATAAACCTTTTTCAAACAAGACCTCGTTTAGTATTGGCTGGTTATAAAGATTATACCTATGTAATGTTTTTTTTAATTTACTAATAGGTACATACTTAGAATCGTTATTACATTTTTCTTTCGAATGGAATTTAAATAATGTTTGACTTAATTGTTAATACTTAATAGTAAGCGGCTTTTAAAATTGAATTTCTCTTTAAGATAAGCAAACATAATTTTATATCTTTTAAGATAATCTTATATAAATGCTGAAGAAAATTATGAAGTATAATAATGTTCAATTTAAATTAGATATATAAAAGATTTAAACTGAATTAAATGCGTTGGTAATACTGAGATTAACAGACGACTACACGTTTGACGTATAAATTATTTGTTTTCCAAAAACCTTTTCAAATCAAGTAATATTTCTTCAAACTAGTAGGTAGGTAATTATTTACGTTCTTAGCTTTGTTATAAATCGTTGCTATTAAATACCTCAGCAACATGTTATTTCCAAGTGATACCTTATCGTACTAAGCGCCTACATTAGTAATTTCGTATAGGCACACATAAAACCCTGATCATGCTAATTAAGATAGTAACTTACTGAGTGGTCCAAGCAATTTATTAACATAAACATAACCCTTATTACGTACAAATAAGGTTCAGAATGTTATATTAATTTTATGTTGATTTAATATGCAATTTTTATGGCAGAGCATATTGTATTCTATTCCAATGTCATATGGTTTAAAATCGTATGTTTTGTGTTATTTGTATTATAAATAAAGCTTTTAGGCTTGCAAAGATATCGTATTGTGAACTAAGGAGACTCAATTAAAATGAAAAGCCTTTATCGTAATCAAAATTATAAAGGCTTTTGCGGCTGATTAAGGTGTTCAATTTTAATAGTCATTAAGACTAGCCCACATTATACAAATAATTTATATAAAAAAATATTTTAATATATACATACATATATAATAATACATACGAGATATACATATTATATTGCCAACCGTACAAATATTAGGCACCCTTCACATTAAATAAAACTCAAATGCGTTCAGTGGTTGCACTTACTTAATTTTATTACCCGTCTTGCATCTGTTTTTCATCTAAATATACTTGCTCCACCCCTGTTTTACTCGCTAAAATTTCATACTCTCTTCAATACATTTATATTATTTGTATTCATAAATGTCATATATGATATCGATGTTCAGTAGCTATGCTCATTGACAGACGAACATAAAATATATAAAGGTTTTAGAGGATTTAGCAGCGTATAGTAAATAATAAATAGACCATTTTCGAAAGCAATTGGTGTTTATTAAAGTCAAGTGTAACTAAAGCTTTGGTCATTTGGCATTCTTTAGTAAACCTTAAAACATATACCTATATAAGAAATTCGTGTTAGTTAAACCATTTATAACATAAGAACGGGTTCACGGATTTGGCTGAAAATTGATGAAGAGCTTAAGAATCAGAAAAATTGACATAAGGTACTTAACATAGAACATATACTCGTATAGAACATAGGATTTATCTCGTTTGACTGAAAAAAATTACTTCATAAAATTAAAAATCTTCATTTACTAATGCGGAAGAGCATTTAGGCTTGCTTTACAATTCTGATTCTAAACTTCGTAAGAAGTCGGGAACAAAAACTAGTCTTTTATATAAAAAGTCCGCAAATAATCTAATCTAATAGGTACGGTCTATCCTAACATTAACTGAAAAGGCATTCTGGTGGGGTGTAATTAAAATGGGCGGTCCTACTTATAAATGATTCAACAAGGCTAATTGTATAACACTTGATGATTACGTTATGGGATGCAAGTACCTACTAAAATATACACGGAAAAATAGATAAATTACGTCATCATTTATTTACGTATTACGTAAATATAAATAAGAACAATTTTATTGTTGTCAATATTGTTATGATTACGTTAAGGAATGCAACTACTTACTAAAATATATACGGAAAAATAAATAAATTACGTCATCATTTATTTATTACATAAATATAAATAAGAACTATTCTTACTTTGTTGTGAATGTATATACTTTTAAATAAATCTCATAATAATGATATATATAACGAAAGTTTATAATTTAAGTGAATATAACAAAACCCTTTCTCCTTTATAATGTAATTAGATGAAGCCGACGTGGAAATTTATCGATACTTCCCATCCCTATAATTAGATAAGTGCGGTGCAATTAAACTTGAGTTAAATAAGCCAAACGCGGGAATTAGTTAATTTCTGCCTGATTATTCCATAACTTGGTAACGAACAGTTTACTTCTAGATGAGTCATTGAGATTGATCGCCTGTTTTATGGAACATTTGATAATGTTGCCAGTTTAGCTGTTTTGGTAATTAAATTAACTGAAATGGTATACAAAATTAATGTATTTATTGAATACATATACTAGGGATTTCGATAAATCATAGATAAAAATGTTCTTATTCAATCAAAACTAATCTAAACTTATTTTCTTATCTGTATTTTTTTATGTTATAGGTATTAGTGCAATGGCAACATTTTTATAATGAATATTTTAATTGCTTTTGCTATTATAATTCTCAGATTAATTTCTCAAATACGTCAGCAATAAAATTAAATTATATAAAATGTAAAATGACAGGAAAATTTAAATTGCTTATTAACTGTTCCAAACCTTGTACATTCCAAAAAACAATTAAAAAAATTATAATATCATTATTGACATTGACAGATACGAACTGTCTTGACTTAAATTTCAAAGAAATTTAATTAAGAAGAAATTTTATTAAATTAAAAGTATTTATTAATGAGTAAAAAATAAAAATACATCTAGTTGTGTATATCTTTGAAACAACGCCCCAGCGGTCCGCTCGCTTAATTCAAACTAATTTATGGAAGCCAATTAAAACTGTCTTATTAATTTATAATCTGTTGTAATTTTTTCTTTCGTGATGAAAACATTTTTTTTTTGAAAATCCCTTGAATTATTCTGATGACGGAAGTAATGAATGTTATTCTCATTTCCTTTTTTATTTTCACCTTGTAATTTTGACGTTGATTTTGTCTTATTTTTTTTTATGATATCAACATCACAGATTCTACTTTTATTTCCCACAAGAAGTTTTTTTTTTCATTTTTAATATACATATAATCATAATTCTCTTTTATTAAAAAAATATATTATAATATAATAATGAAGTATATAAGTAAAAATCATTGTTAAACAAAAACTAGTTGTTTTATATTATTAATTCTAACAAGGCGCTATAAAAATGTATGGCTGAATGTTACACTCACTTCCCCACTTCAACGTCAATCAGTAAAAGTATTTGTATCGTAATACCAGAGGCTACAAGTAACAATTATCTAAGACAACACGACTGATACAAAACTCACAGGCGATAATAAACTTTAACACCATCACATAAGATATAAAACAACTAAAGCTAATATAGATCTCACTTAAGAAAATCAACGTACATATGAATTTCGACTCTATGCTCATATATATAAAGTTGAATTTGATATGACTATTATAACCCCTAATTCGAGTTTAATATTCAGTTACAAAGCAAAGAATTACAGTAAGAAATGAAGCAGGGATGTAGTAAATAAATAAACCACCCTCGATTGGTTTGTACGTGACGGTTGGCATTCGATTTGCGAAGTCGTTTTACGTCTTATGTAGAGACAAACTGAGTGTAAATTGATTGTACAAGATTACCCTCGGCGTTAGTTCAGTTTGAATTAGCTTTTAAAATATATAGTATATAAAGAATTATATATTATTATAATTCCTTATATATAAGGAATTTATTTTTACATAATAATGTTAAATACCAGATGAGAAGTATGTTTTTATGATGATGTTTTGAATATGTATTTAAGTACGTGTTTCAAAATATATTTTTTTTGGTATATGTAGTCTTGTAGAATGAGTAAAAACACCTTAATTTTATATTCAATCTTATTTTATGATTGAAATATGATTTAAGATATCAATAAACAGATTAGATTATTTCACAAATGCTTTTTTATAAGTTCTCTGCTAATATTATACGATGGTTTAACAACTTACATATAGTTTCTAAGAAAATTTATATACTTCTTTAAACTTATTACTTGATATACTCTCTTCATACAAATATTTAAATATAGTTTCGTATAAATGACAATCTTAATCTCAAATCACATCTCGTCTGCATTGATCACGGTTGCTGCAAAGTAACTGAAACCTCGGTAGTATGTAGTTTAAAATAATAATCCGTAAATTATAATATAATTTTAATATTAATTATTAATATGATCGCACAATAACAAAGCAGTATACCAACTAAGTCAACATTCACGTAGGAACATAAAATAAGCTGAAGAGCTCTAAAAGAAACGAGCAATAAAACAGCGAACAATACGTGTAAACCGTGGGTACTGTGTTGTTAATAATTGATGCACCAAACTGCCGAGTTGTGTCCCTCATACAATATTTACCTCCCCACCTACCCTGTTACCGCCTATATATAAATAGAAATTTGACTTTGACTCCGCTTGCGTTTTTTTTTTGCGTCCCTTCATTTGCGTTATGCTTTGAAGATGTTGGAGTTAGCTGGTGATTGTCATTTGTTTTGTGTATACTAATATTATGGTGGTGGTGATTTTGTTTGTTTGTGTACGCTAATATCAAGAACTAGGTGATTGAAAAGGAATAATGATTTTGTAATTAATAGTAATTTAATTTAGGCAGGCTATAGGCTATATAATGGGAAAGGAATATTATGAAGAATGTAAGATACTTACTTAGAAAATATATTTTACTTAAGATGTTCCATCAATAAATATATACATTACTTTCATTAGGAATATATTATTGTATCAAGACGCGTGTTGATTAATGAGTGTCGTTTACATTAGACAGAAATTTTACTAAATGAATCGTCAATTTTAATTTGACACACTTTTAAAAAGTTTTATTAAAAATAAATTCAAATCAAATAACATTCTTTAATACCAACCTATAAACATTATAAATAAAAAAAACCTACTATTGAAAACAATTAATAGGTATATGTTATTCACACTAAGAACCTATGTTAAAAAACGTTATTACTATAAAGTAAAAATAAATCTATTTAAACAAATTCTATATGTATGCGATTTCTAATTTGTTTTCATGAATATTTATGTTTTATTTCAATACACTGAACGATCACTGAGCGTAATGGACTTCGCTATATAATGACAACCAAGCAGTTTAGATTATAGGAAATGGCAATATATATCATTGACGTATAAAGAAATTATTTAAGATATTTTTATATTGAATATATTAAAATATTCTATAGTAATATTAATACGTGGAGACGAAAATTTTATAGAAGAGTACCTATTGCGATGATTTGGAAATGATTAACAAAATTAGTTTGTATGGAATATGAGCTCGTAAAGCTTTGTAAATATATAAAATTATGAGATTTAAAAATGTCGTGTACCTATTTTCATTTAAATAAATAATATTTTCGCGTTATTTTATTATTTTAACTACATACTACCGAGGTTTCGGTTACTTTGCAGCAACCGTGATCACGGGCAGACGAGATTAAAATGTAGTAATCCGAAAGTATTCGTTTTGTTTATATCAAATTAATTTAAATAAACACGATATGTACTATAAACACTTTTATATATAGGTATGTACATATGAGACGAAACCTCTTAGCATTCGATGGATTCACCGTGCGGGTGCCGGGTCCATCGCGTTGCAGGGAGAGGAGCTTCAACAGTGCCTGGGACTTGCGACCCAGGTGTAGGTTTAAGGGGCCCCTTAACTAACGCGCGTTATACGCTCACCTCCACTGTCCAAGTTCCTCTCCCTACCTAACCAAATTTGAAAAGAACCTACTAGGGCTGCCTTCGACGTACGTTCTAAGAATGAATTAATGTTAGTTCTGGACAGGCCCAAGTCTTTTAGTAGGTTATAGAGAGATTTAGCTGTTATACCTCTCGCTCCCACCTCTACCGCGTACAAATCAACGACGAACCTATTTCGAGTTAGTTCGTTAGTGAGCTCGTAATACTTATTGACCTTGATGGCATGGTCTTTGGGGATGTTGGTTTCCCAAGGCACCGTAAGCTCTATCATCACAACGCGCTTTAAAAGACGCGAGTATAGAAATAAGTCCGGTCTGGAGGCCGACGCACAAATATCCTCGGGGATTTTGTATTGTTTCTCATACGTATCCATCATGATAGTCCAATCCGAAGCCGCTTTAAGGATAGAGTAAGGCTTGACGTTTAATTTTATAGCCCTGGTGCCCTCTCTCACAAAACCTATTGATCGCTCGTTTGTGGTTATTTAATTTTTCTCTATCTATGTATTACAATTAACTATATACTAAGTTACTTTTAAGTTATTTTCGTTGTTCTAAACGCGTGTGAAAACATAAACGGTGCCTTCCAAAAAATGAAACCTTTTTTCCATAATACAAACTCATTATTGTCTACAGTATTCAAAATTCTAATAAAATGTTGACATTGGCATTGTATAGGTATAATTCCATTCGTGCGGCGCATTCGTCTGCTGGGTCTGCAAGTGGCCCTCAACAAGACGAGGGCCATCTCCTTCCATGGCCCACGACGAGGAACAAGAGAGGAGCTCAAAGTCCTGGTAGAGGGGGTCCTAATTTCTGTCAAGGGGCTGTGAGGTACCTCGGCCTTACGCTGGACTCTCGGTGGAGCTTCGTGAAACATTTCGAGCTCCTAGCTCCCCGGCTATGCGCCGCCGCAGCCAGCTTAGGTCGGCTCCTTCCCAACGTGGGAGGGCCGAATACAAAGTGTCGTCGTCTGTATCACGGGGTGATACGGTCGATGGCGCTATACGGAGCACCGGTGTGGGCTGAGTGCCTTAAACCCAGCACGCGAGCCCTTTTGTGTAGGCCGCAAAAAATAATTGCGTCCCGAACTGTGAGGACATATCGCACGGTGAGCCACGGGGCGGCCTACGTACTGGCGGCCATGCCTCCTCTGGACATCGATGCACTTGTGCTTGCGGAGGTGTATCGAAGCAGGGTTGAGGCACAACAGCGGGGTGGAGCGCCTGCTCTTGTAAACATAGAGCAGGCCCGAGTAGAGGCCCAGAGAGAGGCACTACACCGGTGGCAGGAGGCACTTGCCAATCCCACCGCTGGTCACTGGACGATAGAGGCTTTTCGTCCAGTATTAGTGGAGTGGGTGGGGTGTCAGCGGGGCAGCCTAACCTTCCGTCTGGTGCAGATCTTGACTGGACACGGTTGTTTCGGTCACTATCTGCACCGGGTGGCAAGAAGAGAGGAGACGCCGCAGTGTCACCACTGTGGCGATCCTGACGATACTGCCGAGCACACCCTAACAGTGTGCCCGGCATGGAGAAATGCCGCGCCGTGTACTCACTGCGGCGCTCAGCGGGAGGATACTGTCGCTCCCAAACATGATGAAAGCTATGGTTGGAAGCCAGGAGGCTTGGGAGGCTGCTGCTTGTTTCGCCGAAGCAGTAATGTCGGCGAAGGAAGCTGCGGAGAGGGAGCGGGAGGAGGATGCTCTAGCTGCTCCCCTCCGGCGTAGACGTACGGGTCGGAGGAGACGGGTGAACCTGTAACCTTCGACCTGGAAGTTCGACCAGCCTGCGTCAAGTGGCACTGATGCAGGCATTGCACATGGTCAACACGTCTGGGGATTATCTCGGCTCTCCCGGGTAATCCCCCATCGGCGCGGTAGCCCGGCACAGTAGCTAGGCAGCCCGTATAATTCCATTATCAATTAAGGCTTAGCATAAAAATAAAAGAAAAATGTATATATTGTCACTAAATATCAAACATAATGATATTTCTTTTGTATTAGTTGATAAAATCATTTAATTAGATCATCGGATTCATGTATTTAGTTTTATTTCGATTATATAAATCAGTTGTATTGAAATAATTTATTATAAATAATAAAAAAGCTTATTATGAATGTTTTTCTATGATTGCATTGAGCACTAAATCAGTGCTTAATACAAGTGCACCGTTAATTTAACGATGGGTATAGCGTTTTATGAACTAATACATATGTATTAATGATATATATATTCGACATACGTAATTAATAAGGGTTCACGGAAACTTTGTACCTCCGTAGAATTATTTTAACTATTTCTAATTCATTCTTAGGATAAAAGTCTTGAATTTCTGATATATATATTCTTACTTAATATACGCTAACCCTTTTCAGAGTGAGGTTTTAATAATAAATAAATCAAAAGACTTTGCTTAAAGGAAGTGCAAGTGTCACAAACAATAAGTATTGGACGTAATTCCTTCAGTTGTATTAATAAATGAAATTTTTAATTATATAGTCAAAGACATACAAAAAATATATTTATTTAAAGTACATAGGTATGTCTTGTTTAAACAAAATTGCCAATATGTATGTATACATTTTAGTTAAATACATTAATAGATTATTGAATTTAATTCAAACAAAGAAACAGCTAAATCAGAAGTTATCATCAAGAGTGGAACCAAAACTTAAAAAACAACGGAAAATATAAATATAAAATCCATACATATAATTTAAATTATTAAACATAATTATAATAATATTTTTTTATATCAATAACGATTAAAATCCGATAAGAACAACTCCGTCACAGATTAACATACCAAACACTATCTAACACCAATCTTATGACATTTAATATATAATAATTAAATAAATATGTTATGTATAAGAAATATAGAAATTTGTAATCGATGTTAGGTATAAGATTAGTATCTGAAACAAGATAATGTTTATACATTCAGATTTTATGGTAATTAGTACGAGATATATGTATAGATTGTGTATTGACGTCTTTGTGAATCTATATCTTTGTAATCTTGAATTTCTTTATACTATTTTAATATTTTTTTTTTGGATTTAAATTCGTTTATTGCCAGTACGAATTTGTGCCAAAGAGGTTTTATTATAAACCGCTGATTACAATATTTGTATTTCATTTAAAACATTTACTCTCAGACTCAAAACCTCAGTATAAAATAAGTTACAACCACTGACACTATTATCAAATATCATTATAATCATTATTAATAGCGGTTTCTAATATTTTTAAATAACAATAACAATGTGAATTAATCAAAGTTTTATCTTTACTTTTAATAAGTAACAACAGAACAAGCGGTGATAAACCACCATTAACACGGCTGGTTAATATAAAAAGACTTCTGATATATAGCTGCGTTATCAGAAGCTTTCAAACCTTTTTTTATACGCAGCCGACGGTTTTCACTTTCTATACCAGCTGTGATTTTGATAATTCATATTATATAAAACCTTATTCCTGATTTGACAATTCCTTCTATTGATTTTTTTTTAAATTTATTTATGGCCAGTACTTTGCAAAAAGAAAAAAAAACATAGAGCATAAATCAATAGAGAGTTCTAATAACAAGCACAGAGTATAAATGTACAGAGAGCGCTCAAACAAAAATATTCCATACAATATATCACGTTAGTTTTTTGTTGTCAACGGTGGCATGGCGCCGGGCGTATCGCGTGTTATCGGCCCCGAACACAAACACCGCTTGTCCATTAGACGGTAATCGGTGATGCCACCACCATCGAGACTTGCATTGTCTCAGAGGCTTACGGAATTTTGTATTGAAATTGCGTTCCATATTTAAATATTTTTTTTTTATATTCATGTATTAACACCAAAAAGTTTTGTATGTATTGATGTAAATACATTAATGTTTTTATATAGCTTACTGGCTGTAAATTATAATAATTTTATTGTGACTTTTGCACTACATTCCAAATAAGATCAAAGCATATTATGCATTCTTACAATATTTAATGGATGTTAACATTCCAAATTTGAAACTTTTTTTATAATAAGTAAATAGGTCAAATATAATTTATTATTCATGTTAATTTAAAATAATTATTAACGTTCTAATAACAATCGTAACCGGATAATCTCCGTCTAGTGATCTTTCATTCAGATAAACTCGACATGTTAATAATTTAACCCGAGAGGTCAAAATGAGGTGGTCAGGTTAAAAATATAATGTGTCACACTGATTGAGTTACTTTGACTTATAAGAATTATAGAACAATTCTATATAAGAACGTTACTAAAATTATAATACTTTAAGTGATTAAAATATAATATGTTTAATCAATTCAAGTTATGTAATGAAATGATTTTGATGTAATTTACTTAATTTTAGTAGCAAAAGCTGGATGTTGTGTTCTTTTAGCCACAAGTATTATATATATTGACTAACAAGAAACGCTTAAATGTATGTATGGGTATTTTAATGTAATTGCAATAAATTCTCTTTTCATATATTAATGCTAAGATTTTGGTTTCAATGTAAATGTAACTAATATTATTTGTAAATAACTAATCATTTAGGGCTCGTAGGTAATCTATACTCTACATATTATGTAAAGTTCGTATCGTCACATCGGAAGTTAACAGTTTCACAATCATCTTCTCTTATTAAAGAATTCACTTGCCTTATACGAAAAACATTTAGAATTAAGAGTTTTGAAACTTGTGATAACAATACCTACATTTTTTTCATAATATTACAACGCAATGGACACGGCGCACGGTGAATCCATTGAATGCTGAGAGATTACATCTCATTCATATATCTTTATATACAATATTTTAAAATGAAAAACTATGAAACTATCAGTTTTTATACCACATGAACCCGTTGTAAGGATCGTGAGGTTTAAAAACTGTTTTCAAAACTAACAATCTTCAATTGTATTCCATATGTAGGTAATTCAAGTATAGGTACTATGATTAATTTTTATAAAGATCTTTAAGAAAACATTGATTACGTAACAAATAATAAATACACACAGACACACACACACACACACACACACATATATATATATATATATATATATATATGTATTCTCTTTTAATTACTATTATAATGTCCTGACATTTGATAATTGAAAATTTATAACATTAAAATAATCTGTTGAAATTATTTATTTGTGCTCTTAAGTTTTGTGACTCTTATGATCATTATCTTATCTATTATCTTAATGGATCTCTGGTTTAGGTAAAAATAACACTGTTTTTATTATTTTTCAATAAAAAAATATAATCGAGAAATATCTCAATGTTATGTATCACGTTTTTATAATTTAAATTAAATGGAAAATAAATATTATTACAATCTTCTATTTCTGTGCAGATAAATTTTACTTCATTTACCTAAATGTTTTTAAAAACGATTTGATTTATCAAGTGTAAAATATTTAGTACTCAATATTTTATCATAACTGCTTACTAAAAAATTGCAATGTTAATATTACAATTCTAATTTCAAGCAGAAAAAATTACCTATGTTGTAAGCAAAATGTCTATAGATAAAATATACCTAAGAGATGAACAAAAAATTTCACATCATATTTGATGTTTTCAGACTTTTCTAAATATTATAGCTCTGATTTATATATGAAACTAAATACTGTTTGAAGCATATAAGGTTTTCAAGTTATATACCTAAAAGTAATACATATATTAATTATCAAGTGAAAGTAATCGTAACTAATGTTTGATTGTTTAATGTTTAATCTATACAGTCGCCTCTATAAACTTTATAAAATGGGTCTAAAGTAAGCTGACAATACAATAAAGGTTATAATTATCACATAAACGAATTTCAAAGATTTCAATCCAAAATTCCTAACAATCGCCAACCTCAAACAAAAAATTCTCTTTAAATCTACCTTTAGTTTTTAATCTTCTTCAAAAAAAGTTAGGTTCTTAATTCGTCTATATTCTATATCATAACATACCTCCATTTCGTTCTTCGATTCTGGAACCACGTTTTAACTTGGGCGTCCGTCATCTTCAATGTTTTAGCTAGTGAAGCTCTTTCAGCGGATGCGAGGTACTTCTGTTTGTGGAATCTCTTCTCCAGTTCAGCTATCTGCATACGTGTGAATGATGTTCTAGGTTTCTTTCTCTTAGGAGGCGTTCTGTTCTGATACGGGTGACCGATTCTTCTCGTTATTGGAAATGATGCTGGAAGGATATAAAAAAATATATATAAAATTTGGAAAAAATATATACGTTCGGAGTTAAGTTAAGGAGTTCGGTTATATCGCGTTTCCAAGAGAACCTTTCAAACTCTGGGATAAAAACTATCCTATGTTCTTTCTCAAGGTCAACTCTATCTGTACCAAATTTAATTAAAATCAGTTCAGTGGTTTAGGCGTGAAAGCGTAACAGACAGACAGAGTTACTTTCGCATTTATAATATAAGTAGGGATTGTAAGGATTTTGCTTTATTTTTATCAGTCCTAGATGTTCTGATTAAAATGTAAAAATATGCCTATCTGTATAATATTTTTTTCTCACATTACTTCCGTGAAATATTTCAAAACAATGGGTTAGTATGAAATTCGATTAAAATCATTCATACATTTTCAATGTAAATATCTTATTATAATTTTTAATTCAGTGAAACAACATCAATATTAAGATCAAGATTTATCATAAAATTCCATCACCGCCATTACAGATATAACAATCAGTATATATTAAACCTTATCTTTGTAATTGAAATCACGACATAATAGCTTTGAATAATCTTACAAAAGCAATGAATAAATAAATATAACATTAAAACATAAATAACATGAACAATCAAATCCTTAATAAAACTGAAATTGTTATTGGTGACCGCAAAAAAATATGACGTTTTCACAAAAAAAAATAGTAATTGTCAGTTGGCCATATTGAAATTACAGCAAAGATGGCGGAATGATTACGCTTTTAAAATTTGATATTCAATAAATTGAAATGGCGAATGTGATTGGCTCGTAATAACTACTTAGTGTTTTGTATCGATTTGCATTAAATGGCCCGTGAGATCAGATCATAATATTAAATATATTGCAGCAATACACGCTGACAATCTGTGCCACATAATATTAGTCATTATAGCTATTAAATATATATAAATTATTTTTTTATATAACCATTATGTAATATACAATATTTTTATCACATAATAAGGAAGTTGTTAAACATATTATTGTAAGTATATACGTATTCAATATGGTATATTTACATAGTCATTAATGTAACATGCTAGTACTTTATTTGTTTTTTTTTGTTCAAATGAAACATTATTAAGTGGCGAGCTCTCATTGGTCGAACATCATGTAATGGTTTGTTCACGTGACCGCAAATTGTCCACCATTTGCGAGGGAAACTAAACGTACGAACGAATTATATGTACACGAATCGTATATATTATTCATTGTATGTATTATTCATCATTACTCATACAGATATATTTATATTGTGAGCATCAAAATTTAATTTATAAACTCTTTCCGCCTACATAAAAACTTATACATGTATGTGAGTAGGGTCCCCTAACAAGATTGTGGCCCTAATCCACTTACCGCGTATGATTCATGCGTGTACATTACGTTACAGAACGTTAAATATTACTTACATTGTAATGAGAATATTAGATTATTTTATATGTTACATTAATTATTAAAACATACAACAATGGTGAATTTAGAATGTGATAAATCTTAACCAATTATCAAATGAACCATTTCTTATGAAGGATTAGTTAAAATGTAGATGAGTTTTGAAAAAAATTAAGAAACAAATTAACAATGAAAGGTTTAACCATCGCGGAGGGAGACCTTTATAATATTATCCCTAACCCAAATCCTTTACCCTCGAGTCAAAACGAATTTGAAATATCATTTAAATAAGCTTCATTCCCATCTTAATATCTTAGAAAGTTATAAAAAATATGATTATTAAGTAAATTTTCTCCTGAAAAGAGAAATTTTGATATTTATGTTAAAAGAAATATTTTCATCAGAAAAAGAAATCGTTTAAATTTAATTACTTTTACATCTATTAAATTTTGATTCAAAAGCTTTTTAAAGAAACCAGATTAATTAAAAAAATCTACAATATTTTAGTATACCTAATTACAGATTATACATAACGATGTATAAAAATATATAAAAAAAATGTTCCAGAGTTACCATATTTCAAAATTTAAACGTAAATTTCTCTCATATTTATCGTGAGGGGGAAGACGGATGCCTGACGTCTAATTGGGCGCGTCGCTTGGGATTACAGGAAGACATTCCATCATTCCAATAGTCTTATTTGTCCGCGCCTGAACACTTATGATTTAACACCTGGCAACACTACCGGATTACGTTTTTATTACAACATATAAAACCTTTTTCACAACTAACTCATCATACACACACCTAGGTAGGTATTCCAAATTCAAAACGCGCCTCAGAATAACACCGATTGGTTATAAATATTGCAACGAACATCGGAAACGAAAATACGATGGCGCGACGCAACAATTTTCAATTACAACGGACAATGGCCGGTTGGAAAAAAAATGACCGGACAAAAATCTCATACATATTACACGATACAGAGATACCAATCCCCGCCAGTAACTGAGTTCCAATAAAAAATTCAGCGGTTGAAAGCGGGATGCAATCGGAGCTTAGCCTGCATTCAGAATGCATTCGTACAAAGGCTGGCTTTATGATCTACATTTAGTACTTACAGTTAGAACTGCGATGAAATTTAAGTTGAATTTTTATTTAAAAACCTATAAAATATTCTATAAGTAGTATATTTTGTTTCTTACAAGGAAATAAGGAATTAAATATGAAATGGTACTAGGCAGTGCTTTGCGTGACGTAAATATGCTGTCAAATAGACTATGTCAGAACCGTCAAATGTCACAATATTTTTGACATTCCAAATAACAGTTTAGAAATACGAATTATAAAATATTTATTTAAACTCACATAAGAGTGACGTAATTTTATTTTTTTGTTTCTCTTAATACAAGTGATATTCTGGAAGCCAAATTACTAAATGTGTTCTTAGAGATAATATTATCTGCACGCATGTTATTAAAATGGTCACCGGTCACACGAATTAACCTAAATGTATATCTCGTTTTATGAAAATTAAACTTAAATGCAGTAGTAATAAGACTTCTTTAATGTATGTAACAATTATTTAAATTATTCTTAAGTTTTAAATTTCAATGTTGTTTAAATCAAGGTTGTGTAATAATGATTTTACATTAAAGTATAAGAATGTTTTAGATTTTAAAAATTCTTGTTAGCTTGAAGACAATTTAAACGATATAAAAATGGAATATTATACAATGGGGTACCTATATGAAAAATATATTTTGGTATAAAAAATGTTACCCAGTATCTAGGTACTCTTTATGTCACAAGAATTCAAACGTTATTACTAAAATTTCTATTAGATTATAATTAAAATGTACTACTTTTTAAACTTTCTCTAAAAATAAAACAATCTTATTTATCCTAGAATTAAAAATAATACCTTGAACTTAATACATAAATATATTATATCTAATACAAATTGTAATATCTATAAAGCATATAAATCTATATTTATATATGTATATACATATATAGTTAATATTTTACGCTAGTATCCCCAACTTCTCGTATATTTACACGTTTGAAATATGGCGGCTTTTATAACCTCTCACATTATGGATTGGTTGTAAAATATATCAGCATACACTTTATGGGGCATAACAGCATTGACATTGGAAATGATATATAGGGAATAATATATTTAAAAGAAAAAATACTTATTACAAATACATATAGTACTTACATAATAAACAGTATATAAGATATTATTTTAATTTACGTAATATTATAAGTAATTTTTTTTTTTAATAAAGTAAACATAAAAAGTCGAAGGCATTTACGTATACATCCAAATTCCAAAGTGAGCACAAAAAAGGTTGCATGGTACGTTACATAATCTCCTTGGTTGTTCACACGTGGAGCCGATATCATCGGATATAGCGCGTCAAATTTTCATAACAGCCTCCCGGGAAATGTGAGGAGAGGAATATTAAAGTCGTGAGTTTAGTGTGCCGATGATTTTGCGGGATTGCCATCTTTATATCACATATATACATATATAACGTAGAAGATGTTTTAAATTATATGTACTATGTTTCTTTATGGATATATGGAAATGTGTTTTGTAATTTAATTAATATAACGATAAAATACATACTAATATAAGTATAGAAAATACAGTAGGTAAGTTTAAAAAATCGTCTGTTTTATATAGATAAATAATCTTAAATTTAAATTATGTATCATTATTAGTTGTAATGTATTTTAACTTGACGTGGTTACTATAGTTAATTTCGTTGAATGAATTTTTGAGTCTATAAAATAACCCCAGTTATGTATGGAATTAATTCCTACTGATTTTCATATATATTTTATTTATATTTATATGTATAGATATAGATATTACGTTGCCGACGGAGGAAATATTGGTTTGTGTTAAACATTGTATCCTACAATATTTATTTAGAAAAAATCAATAAAAATTCTTCGTAAATTTTAATGTTATATAAAAATATGTAATAAAATTACGAAGTTTCCTTTATTACATATTTTTACATTAAGTTTATATACAAATCTAAATTTAAATTTAAATTGTTTTTAGAGTTCAAATAGATTAAATAAAGCCCAGAACTCACTGATGAACATTTGATATGATTAATTTAAATTGATTTAATGTAATATATATTTTAAATTAATAGTTTGTCTTTTAAATTTGTAATAAAAATTGTTAAATGAATCAGTGATTGAAATCATCTAAGTGATTTAATATACTAATAATAAAATCTTACTTTTATTTCAATAAATACTCGCGAAATTCTGAGATTGAATTAATGTATTAAAAATTTTACCTGTTCATTATATTCATATGTATATGCAATCAATTCTTTTGTTTTGGTATTTATTAATAATAACATAATTTCAATATGTACATTACTTTAGATTTACTCAATGAAGACCGCACAAAAACATTTTTATATAAAAGTACCTATTATTGTTACGGCAACATTTACATTTCTTTATAAAAATCGAATACTTTTTACTTCTTAAGCAATTATAAGGGTTTTTTCCGTACAATTAACATTGCTA